GGGACAGGAGGCAACAAGGTTTCTGACATCTGGCTCTTCTGCTGTTCCCCAATTACGTCCATAGCCACCCTCCGGGGAAGGGGTAGGGCTCAGGACCCCCCTGGGGCAGTTTGCATGAAGCCCCGTGCTGGCGCCCAGCAGCCTCGGGTGCGGCCCCAGGCAGAGCCCGGGCGAGGAGGCCGCCTTTAGCAGCCTGGCCTGTCTCTGCTGTGTGTCTGCCTGGTGCCTTGGGTCTCCCTGGCCTGAGGGGAGCTGGGGGAAGCCAGAAACTGACCTTCAGAGGTTTGCAGTTCTCCTTCACATACCGGCCATCAGAGCTGTTCTCATCCCAAACCAGGCCCCCCTTGTAGAAATATTTCTGCTTCCTGAAAGTGAGGGAAAGGTCAAGCGGTAGGGGTGGGGAAGGGGCCACAAGTCTCGGGTGGGGGTTGGGGTAGACCGCGGCACTCTGGGAACGGCAGCAAAGCCAGGTGGGGGTCGGGGTTCCTAGCCGGCCTGACCCAGCAGGGCAAGCGGTCCGCCGAGTCTCTCGGTGTGTACGGCAGGAAAGGCCGCTGTGAGCCCGGAGGAGCCAGGCTGTCCCGGAAAGACAGGCTCGTGACCCACTGCCAAGACCGGAAAGGCCCCAGAGGCCAGCCCCGAGGGCGCTACCCGGCTCCTTACCTGGTACGGTGGATCATGTGCGATGGGATGGGCCCCAGGATCTTCTCCATCATCACTAAATGTTCTCGGTTCTCGTGGGTCTATTGGAAGGTCGTGGATAGAGCAAGCAGGGGTCAGTACCAGCCTCAGAGAAAATAAGGGACAGAAAAGATGGGCAGGTGCCCTCCCTGCCCCGGGAGAGGCAAATCCACCAGTGGAACAGCAGCCCCGGTCTGTGACCCGGCGGCAGCCTGCCAGCCTGTTCCCTCAGGGTCAGGCTCACACCCCTCAGCCTTTCGGTGGACTCATCCATCACCACACACCTCTTCCCAAAACGTGCCCCGCCTGGGCCCATCTCTGCCCTTCGCTCCTCCTGCCCTGGCCCTCCATCCCGAGGCTGAGCACCAGACTCCCCGACTGGTGGGTGGTTGAATTGAAGGGCTCCCCGCACCAGCCCCGCCACTTGCCAGGGGAGCAGCGCGCGGGGCAGTGCGGTGACGCGGGATGGGCCTCACCTGGAAGAGGGTGAAGCCCCGGTAGTACTCAAAGAGGATGCAGCCAATGCTCCAGACGTCACAGGGCTGGGCCCAGCCCAGCTCTGAAAGCCAAGATGGGGAGAAACCATGAGATTCAGCCCTGTGCTCCCAGCCGAGAGGTCAAAGGGCAGCGGCCACTCCGGCTGGCAGGACTCTTGCCTCAACAGGAAACGCTTTCTCAGGAAGGCCAAGTCGGCAACCGCAGTGACTCTAGCATCGGTCCCTGGTGGCGGGCACTGTCTCTATCCGTACCCTCCCCCAACGGCTGTCCACTGGATCAGGGCCGGGGGCTGTACAGTCACTCACCAAGGATCACCTCAGGTGGGCGATAGTGACGGGTGGCCACGATGGTCGTGTGATGCTCATGGTCAAAGGTGGCACTGCCGAAGTCAGCTACTCGGATGCTGGTGTTCTTCACTGACTTCTCCTCACAGCTCTGACAGGCAAGGGGGGCGAGCCAGGTCAGGAGTCCGTGCCATGGGCGGCCCACCCCAGAGCACAGCCATGGCCTCACCCTGACCGATACCTTGTGCTCATTGTAGAGGGTTTCAAACTCAGAATTCACAAACAAGATGTTCTCTGGCTTCAAGTCTGTGTGGGTCAGTTGGTTTTCATGTAGAACTGAGAGAGCGGGAGGAAAAAAGCAGAAACTTGAGAACCCTGGCCGCCTCTCTGGTCCTCCTGCCAGCTCCGGGCCGGCTCCCTCCTCCACAACCGGCCCGCCAGAGCCTTGCCCACCCCTAACCTCAGCAGCGGGCCAAGGGATACCAGACTGTGTCCACACCGGCTTCCCTCTCCACAGTCCTCTGTGCTTGGGGCCTTGGAAGGTCCTGACACTCTATGAGAGGGGCAGAGGAGACTTTTCCCACTTAGAAAACCTCCCTTCACCTCCTCTGTGGGGGCCTGGCCTCCTGAGCCTCTCTCACCAAAGCTGCAGCACCAGCCCTGGCATGGGTCCCTCTTCCCAGCGCAGCTACGCGATCTGCAGGGCCCGGGGCAAAATGAAAACGCAGGTCCCTTGATTCAAAAGTCATTAAGAATGTCAAGATGGCGGGAACAACGTTCAACTAACCACGGGGCCACCCGTGAAGCACAACCTAGGCCTGAGCGGACATACCTACCATTTCCTCCGGCCCTTGCCCCACCAACGGTGGCACCCGCCACCTCTCACTTTCTGGCTCCAGACCCCCTTCAGCACGCTGTGACCCACTTCTCCCCAGCACGGGCCCCTCTCTTCTTCAGAGTGAGTTTCAGCATGTGCCGGGCTCTGGGCCCTCACTGCGCCGCTCACCTTGCTTGGAGTCTCCGTCCCCGTCCCCACCATCTGTGCGGACCGCATACAGCCTAGCCCTAGGCCTGTCTACCTCCTCTCTGAGGAGCCTCTGTCCTGCGCTGCCCACAAATCCTGCAGTGCTGAGCACGTGTGCCACCAAAGAGGCTCTTAAAGGCTGGCGGGCAGATGGGATGCGATGGCCAGACAGAGGGTGTCCGTGTGGGCAGCGCCTGGGGGTGGGATCTGCCAGGGCAGGCTTTGACCTTTCATCCTCTGCAGGAAGGTGAGAAGGTACTAGTAGCCGAACTGATTACAGCCGCTCTCCTTCCTTCCCGAGTGCCTGTGGCACAGGTGGGCTCAGGAGGCCCCTGGAGGGGACTGAAGCTCCTCCCATCCTCCCAGAGATTCCCACCTGAAGGCTTTTCAACTAAAGGGGCCCTGGTGTCTCTCAGGCCCCGTAGAATGGCGTGCTGGTGTGAACGGGGGAGCGTAAGACTGCCGGGCGAGTTTGCCGCCCCACATGCCCCATGAAGTGTGGTCACTTACATCTAAGGGCGTGGCAGAGCTGGTAGGCCATGTGCCGGACGTGTGGTAGGGGGTAAGGCTGGAAGTTATTCTCCTTCAGGAACTCAAAGGTGTTCTTGCCCAGGAGCTCAAAGGCGATGCACATGTGACCGTGGAAGTTGAACCAGTCAGACATCAAGACACACAGGCTAGAGAAGGACGATGGGTGGGGCTCAGGCTCTGCTGGAGGGCGGGGGCTGGCTCCCCGTCCCTCCCTCAGGTGAAGCCAGTCCCCACTCCGGGCCACTGGGGCACGTCTCCCCAACAGAAGTCCCCCAGACCAGCTCACGGCAAGGACTAAAGTTCTGTTGCTGTAGGGGGAATTCCAGTCCTAGGTGTTCTGCCCCATCTATTATGACCTGGGCATAATCCCTACACCTCAGAGAGTGTTGGCATCACACACTTTTTCCAGCTCCCTTAAACGAGCTTCTCGAGTCTGCAGGGCTCAGCGCAGTGCTCATGGGAGAGGAGCTGCTTAGCCTGTGTGTGCGGAGGTGGCTCTCCTTCAGAGCTCTCTGACCATGCCAGAGCCCCAACGGCTTCAGGCGTGTGTCTTGTCTACACCTGCCGTGACCCCCAAGGCCCCTATTCACAGAAGTGGGCTTGGGGGACTGCCTGGGAACACAGAAATGTTTGGGGTGGAGGCTGGACTGAAATCCAAAGGCTCCTTTGGCGAGACTCCCTGGCCCAGCTCCCCTGGCTCTGGGAACTGGGAGCTGGGAACTGGGAGCTGGGAGCAGGCCCGGGGCCAGTGAGAGGACATGGCTCTGCCCCCGGGTCTAGGCAGCCGGGGCCGGAGGGGACGCCATCCCCACTGAAGGCTTCCCTCCTGCTCCCGGCCGACACTCACAATTTGTTCTCTTTGTCCTTCTCCTTGATTTTTTTGAGAACATTGATTTCTAGTCGGGCGGCCTCCCGGTACTTGCCCACGTTGCGGATGATCTTCAGGGCAACCTGAGACTTCCCTCTGGGACCAGGGAAGGAAGTGCAAGTTCTTGTGAGAAGCGCCCCGGCCCGTCCCCCCGCCCCCACCCCCACCTGGCACCTCCTGGCAAATACCATCCAGGACTCCAGGAACAGGGCCTGCTCTGAAGACAGCAGACACCGGACGCCCCTGCCACCCAGGTGACACCAGACCTCTACTCTCCCCTGGCATCTGTGAGTTAGCGCTCTTGGCATCCGTGCCAGCCTAGGCTTATCTGATGTCAGCCAGCTGCCAGCAACCAGCAACCAGAGGGCAGTGGGCAGAGGAGCAGAGGCCTAGCCCACGGACCAGCACCAGCTCACTCAGTAACCCAACCTGTAGGCCCGTCAGCCCTGACCCTGGCCAGGCCATCCCACCCAGAACTTTCTTGCAGCACCTCCTGACCTTCCTAATAAGCACATCTCCAAACAGCTCCCCCTGGGGTGGGGGTTCTAGGGGGGGACGAAGCCTTGGCAAGAAGGTTAAGGGTGCCAGTAGAAGGGCGCCCCGGGGAGCACCTCATTGGGAGCCCCAGGATCACTCCCTTTACCACACTCCCTGCAGCCCCACCAGCCTGCCTACCAACCAGCCACAACATTTCTCAGAGACCACCGAGCGCCAGGAGTCCTCTTTGGTGTCCAGTGAGGATTTTAACAATTCCTGCCCTGCATTTCCCAGCCCCCAGCCCTGCCCCGCAGGCCGCCTGCAGGATGCCAGCAGAGCAGACCTGCTGAGATTTGGCGGCCGGGCCCAATGGCTATCAGGGAGGGACAGCCAGACTTCAGAGGCCTGGTGGGGGACGGGAGTGACACAGCCCTGGTCCACAAGGACGTGACCCCGTGAGGTGTCTGGGAGGCTGGCCATGGTGCCTAAGGAAAGTCTCCCTGGCCCCAGGGCAGAGGCATGTTCTGGAGAACACCCGGTTTTTCTCTCCCTATCCCGTTTTCCTGGATTTCCAGGGCAGGGAAGGACCTCAGAGGAAAGGCTACCCTGCTCCAGGCTCCTAGAACAGGACCCCTCAATGGCATTCTCCTCTTCAACACAGGGAGCTCATCATTTCCACAGGCAGCCAGCATTAGGGCTGGAGGGCTCTGGGGATAAGGCCCTTCCCTTTGCTGAGCTGGAGGTCACCTCCTCATAACACCCCCACTGGCCAACTCCCTTTGGAGCCCCTAGAAGTTCCCTGAGCCTTGTGCCTGCCCGTTAGGGACTTGGCTCAGTTTCCCTCTGGCTGCTCAGAATGCCACAGCCCAGAGAGCTCAGCTGCACCCACGTGCCACAGCTCTCAGATCTGCCACATGTCTCTCTGGCCAGTGTGGTCTACCCATCCCTAGGCCCACTGGTTCCAGCCCTGACCTTTTGGGCCCTGCTGGGTCCAAGGGGTGTTTAAACAGGAACTGGGAGCCCAGGGAGGTTTCCTCGCAGTCACCGTCACCACCTTATTGGGGACGACAGGGCTAACTGGACTGCTGGCTCTAACTGTCCTTTCCGAGCTCCCCGTGTGGTGGTTCTTGGTGCCAGCCCTCAACAACTGGGGGTACAGGTAAACCCCGAGTGCGTCTCTTCACCTCTAACACCGTGGAAGGGTCGGGACAGGTGGCACATGGCTCAAGTGAGACAGCATGGACACGGGCACTCTGTAGCCAGCGCACCAAACCAAAGAGAGTGCCATTAAGGGAGGTCACGGGCTCCAGGGAGGTGGCCTCCCAGCCTAAGGTAAGAGTTCTGGCCTTGAGGAACGGCAAAGGGACGAGAGCGTTTCCCTGTTCAGCCTAGAAGGCGGCAAGGTTCCCCCGAAGCACCCGAACACACACAGGTATACCCCCAACTCTATCTGAGCACACTCAGAGGGACCCGCAATCAACCCTGGCCACCTCCGGGGAGGCAACGGCCTGTGACGTAAGAGAGCCCAGGTCTCTCTCGACTGGGACGTGCGTGGCCTCTCAGGCAGGCCTCCGAGGGTGGGGGCCTCCGAGGGTAGGGGCGCAGCAGTATGTCAACCCCCCCGCCAGGCCCAAACCCTAAAAGAGATCGCAAGACGCGGCCCCAGACCACGTAAGGGCCAGGCCTTGGCCCTGCTCCAACACCCACCACCACGGCCCTGGGGACGTGGGGCAACGCGGCAGCCCCGCTCACTGGCCGGCACTACCTGGGCAGGGATGCACGTGCCTGCGGAACCCCAGGAATGTCTCCCGACCTTCAGGGATCAGAAGAACCCCAACACGTGCAGGTCAGCACCCTGCTATGGTGCTACCCTTCAAAAAGCAAAAGGAGAAACCGATCGCCGCCACCCTCAGGAGCCCCAGGCTAGCTCTTCCCAGGAGGAAGGCTCACCTGGCGTGGTCCAAGCACTCCACCACCTTGCCAAAGGTGCCTTCACCCAGGTTCCCCACGATCTCATCTAGGAGAGAAAAGAAGCAGGGCGTGAGGGTCTGGAGGGCAGAGGGTCGGCAGCTCCTGCAAGTTCACAGCATTCAAATTCTCAAAAACAAAAAAGGTTTCTCTCTCACTGCTACACTCTTAAAAACAGAAGTTGCTAGCGTCTGTGTCATTCAGGCAATTACTGGTGGCCCCGCTAAGGCGCCACGCGCAATAGAGGCCCCTCCGGGCAGGAGAGGTCTCGTCTAACAAGGGGGGTAGAAAGTAGAGAGGTAAAGTTTTACGAAAGGTGGCTGTACATCGCTCTTGGAGCCAATCGCCGATCCGGCACACCAGGTGGCCCTCCTTGTCATCTTCCACACTCCGGCTGCTGCGCTTACTGCTCTGTTGGCTTCTCTGCATGCACCGCCCCCCGAAACGCCATCCGACCAATCGCATGGTAGGCGGTTCCGATTGACAGATTGAGGTGTCAGTCAAAGGCAGAGGTGGAGACGGTGAGGAGCCGGTGGGTTGGTTGGTTGGATTTTCCAGATCCCAGCATTTCATAAGGCACACAGCATATATAACGATAGGGATATTGCAAGGGACACGTCAAGACACAAACTGACTTCAAAAACAGAAAAGTAAAAACAGCTACAGGTATGTAAAGAAAACTCGGACATTATCTAAGAGAAGGGCGCCGCAAACGCTCAGAAAGACGACCAGCCTCTGCTGCCGGGGGGCCGGGCCACGCAGAGAGCCACAGCCCGACTCCCTTCTCCACTGAGTGTCCCCCTCCCGGGCCCTCCCGTGATGGCTCCGGCCGGGACGAAGACGCAGCGAGAACGGCGCAAGAAGGTGGCTGGCTCAGCCCGGGTCCGATCGTCCAGCGTGGGTGGCAGCTGCAGAACGCCCAGCCCGTCCTTGCCTGCCTCTGTTTGCACACACAGCCCTGCACGTGCCCGACAGCTGCCACTCAGAGCCAAGCTGCTACCTGCCCCCAGCCGCATCCGAGGCCAGACTTCACATCGCCACCAGAAATGGCCTTCTGTCAGCAGCCCTTGTGCCACCGGCCTCGAGCGGGGAAGGAGCCCGGGATCCTCTGGGCCAGCCGGCCTCCTACCACGATGGCCCGCACAGGCCCCAAGCCAGCTCCTGCCCTGACACCCGTGATACTCACAGGCCAGGCCATCCTGAGCCTCGTGATGACAGAAGGCACCAAAAAGAGAAGCAGCAGAGCCACAGACCCGCACCGCCATCTGCAGCGGCGTGTGGCAGTGTGCGGGAGGCCACCAGGCCACGCAAGGCACCTGCAGTCAACCCTCAACCCGTGGCCACTCAAGGAAGTCCGGGAAAGCTGTGCAGAGAAGATGCCTGGCTGCCTGTCCTCCGCCACTACTCCTCAGGCCGGCGGGAGGGAAGAGGGGTGGGGAGGAGAAGAGAAGACAGCACGTAACCTGAGAGACACACGAGTGGCCTTCCTTGCAGGGGCCCAAGTGCCGCAGGGGCTCCCAGTCTCGGCAGAGAGCTATACAACCTCCATGCTAAGAACACCGCCAGGCCCCGCTCTTGGCATGCGGCCCGCGAGCAGACAAAGCCTGGGGCTGCGGGCCTTTCTGCCATTTCTTCCGGTGCGCGATCACACAGGCAGCCCGTCCCCCTCATCCTGACCGCCTCTCACAGGAAGAGGCTGGTCTGAAGAGGGCCTGGCTGGAGGTCGGAGGGGAAGCTCCCGGTCTGAGCTGACTGACAGGCAGACGTCCCCTACCCGCGGGCACTCCAGCCTCCAGGCCTTTCAGGAGGGGTGTTGAGACGAGACCGAGGAGGTGGGTGCCGTCCACACCAGTCAGAACACGCGGCTGCACGTGCGGGCAATCTCTGGGTGGGAAGGACCAGGCCACGCAGCTCCAGACCGGCAACCCTATCAGGTTCTCTACGTGTCCCTAGCCACTCGCACCATGTGGCCTGTGCCTGGAGCCGTGTGGAGACATAGACAGGCCGGGGGCCAGCCAGCGCCGGAACCAGAGCCCCTATCACTGCCACTGCCAGCGGGCCAGAAGACAGAGGAGCCGGGCCTGCTGCTCAGCCCTGCACCTGGACCAGACAACACACACACACGCACACGCACACGCGCACACACACCAAATGCGCGTGCACGGGGCTGGCAGTACTCACCCACACCAGCCAGCCTGAGAGAAGGCTAGAAACAGGTGAGGCCTTTAAGCCCCAGCCGGCACACTCTGGCCACCACTCACCGAGGAGGCGCTGCTACAAGACCTGGTGCGGCGTTTGTGGCAGTGGTGGGCGTGCTTGCGGGTCCGGTACGGCTCCCTCTCCCGCGACCGCCGACGATGATGGGAACGGGAAGATCCATAGCAGTCCTCTCCAAAGGATGGGCTCCGCTCTTCACACCGGTATGTGTCACTGTCGCGGCGCTCCCGGTATCTCCTCTGGTAGGGCAGGCGGTCGTGGCTGCCAGGAGGGGGACGAAGACACTGGTGAGACGGGGACCTTCCTCCCACCGGCCAGGTTTCTGCTTCTGGGCCAAAGGCATGTGGGGAGACCCCTACACAGAGCTCACAGGGGCAGCCTGTTGGAGCTGAGGGGAGGGGAGAGAGGGTGTATGTGCGAAGTCCAGCCTCCAGAACCTTGGCCGCTGGTGGCAACTCTCCAGTGCAGGCGGCAGGGCACCAGGGCAGGTGAGCAGCGAGAGGGCTTCGGAGCGTCCGAGCGCCCCAGAACTCCCTGTGGCTGCTAAGACAGGGCAAAGGGACCAACCTCTGGAAAGGACAAAAACTGTGTTCCTAACCCCATCGAGGAAGGCTCAGGGGTCAGCAGGGAAGATGCTGGCTTTGAAAATGGGGGGACGTGGCTGGAGAAAAAAAGGCTCAAGGATAGAGAAAGGGGCAGCAAGGACGGCAGCGAATACGGAGGCCCAGAAACGCATGAGGTCAGGGGCAGTAAGCAAGGTGCCGCAGGGCAGAGGCGGCAGGCAGCTGATGGGACCCAGGGCTGCCACACGCCTCCAGGCCGTCTCGCTGGTCCCAGTGAGGGAAGGAGCCCTTTCCTCCCACCTAATCCCCTGTCACCTTCTGGACCGAGATCTCCGGGGCGGAGGCTCCCTTCGAGACGGATACCGCAGCCTCCCTTCGTGCTCCCGACTGTAAGACCTCCTCCTCTTCCATCGGTAGCTCAGGTACGGGTCTGGCTCAGGGGAGCGGTATCGCTTACAGTGATGCATCTAGGCCACAAGGAACAGAGAGCCCTGCTAAACACGCAGCCAGCCACCTCTAGCCACAGGGCTGCTCAGGAAGCCTAGGAGCTCCTGAAGAAGAGGCCCATTGTTCTGTTTGGGGGCAGCCCCTCCCAGGGGTTTATGAAGTGAAGAAGAACTCTGAGGTCACACTGGTCAAACAGCAGACAATGGGCAACACCCTTCTCCACCAGTGAACAAACAAACAGCTGCCTCCCCAGCACAGCACCGTCGTCCTGAACACTCGGGGCACCAGGGGAGCCAGCACAGGTGCGGAGATAGAATGTGGATTGGGGGGGGTGGGTAGGGGGTGATGGTGAGCACCATCACAGGAGATCAAGGCCAGGGAGAAAGGAGAGCCTCCTGGGTTCAATTCCCTCCTGTCTGTGGGGTTGTATGAAGCGACTGGTCTGCAAGCCAGAGGCCAGAGTCAAAGGGCTGTTGGCAGGAAGCCAACACACAGGAGCAAAGGGTGAAAGCCCTCAAGTTTAAAGCCAAGTTGCCTGGCTGAAAACCTGAACTGGACCCCACTCAAGGGAGCAAAGACCACACGCCAGTGGGAGGAGCCATAGGCAGAGACAAGAAGACCAGCCCTTGGAGAAGGAGGTGCACAGGGTCTCTCCAACATTCCCTAGGCCATCTGAGGGTCTGGCCAGCCCCTGCTGCTGCTCTACGCTCTGTCTCAGCACCAGTAAATGATGCCAGCATCCTCAGGGCATCCAAGTTTCTTGCCCAAGGCCCCTCAGGCCACCTGTGGTGCCATGCTAAGCAGCGCCTCCCCTCTAACTGTACCACTACTGCCCCCTTCCAGATTCCCTGTTCCAGTACCTTCTCCTGTGCTCATCTCAGGAGTAGCCGGAGGGCTGAGTGCCTGGCACGCTTGTGAGCTTGGAGTGGCAGGCCAAAAGGGCCCCACCTCACTATCCCTGTTCCGCAGGGACTTAAATCCACCACAGGAAATTGCCAGGCTAGATCAGACACCAGCTGGGAAAGATGGATGTGCGAGAGCAGCTCCCTGTTCCACCCACACCCAAAACTCTGACATTGGCTCCATTGGAAGGCTGGCCCAGAGACCGTGGCCAGCCTTCCTCCCAACCCTTTATTTGGCCTTAGCCAACCTCCAATGGTGGTCAGTCCTGGGCTTGCCTGACTAAGCACATTTGGACAAACCCACTGCGGCTGCCCGATCTCCTGAGAAGGGTCTATCAGGAGAGCAGAATGCAACCGCTCCCCTTGGATGAGCAGGGCAGCAAGGCATATCTGACTAAAGCCCCAGAAGCTTCTCCATGATCCTGAGAAAGTCACTGCCCTCGATCTCCCCCCCAGCAGGTTTCTTCTCCTATCCACCTGGAAGCCCAGGGCGCAGCAACTCTTAGAGGTAAATACTATGTAAAATTACCAGCAGCTCCCCCAAGCTTAAACTGCTGTTCTGTTTTGATCAGGTGACTAATGTTTCACTGCTTTCCTGCAATCACCCTGGGTCAGGTGCCCAAATTATGGAATGAAGGCAGCATCTCACACCTCACTGAGTGACACGGAAGATGCTCCAGTGGCCAGGCAGAGGTCTGCCCATCCTCGCTGGGTGGACAAGGCGCCAGAGCTGGAGGAGGGACGTGGTTTGGTCTGCACCAGGCCAAAGACTCCCTCCTGAGACCTAGAGGATTCTTAGGTCTGTGCGTGTTCATGTTAGTAGACCGAGCACAGGTTCAGAGTCAGACAGATGTCAGGCTGAATCCTGACACTGTGCCACTTCTAGCTGTGTGCCTTCAGGCAAGTTAACAAACTACTCTGACCTTCAACGTCCTCTTGCAACAAGGGGATAGTAATTTCTTACAGGGCTCTGCAAGGATTAAATCATGCCACTTCTTTAACATGCCTAGCACATGCCTTCAGGTCAAATGCTTTACTGAAGTCAACTTTTTCGTAAAAAAAAAAAAAAAAGTTCAAGGTAACACCT